AAGCCTGCCAGCCGGTGGGTCACGCAAGTGGCAGTGTTGCAGGTCCTCTTCTGGGCAGTGACGCTGATGGCAGGATGGAGAAGGAAGAGAAGGCCTGTCAGTGAGAGGCTGGGGTGGGGAGGACCTGCCACAAGGGACCTTCATAAAGAGAATCGCAGCTCTTCGACACACCACTTAACAATAAGTGTTTCTCCTAAATGCAATTATCAAAGCTGTTAGGGGAAATGGCCTGGCAGCCTTTGCTAGGAGCTCTGCCCAAAAACTCCCAAGAAAGAAAAAATAAATAAATCTAAGCCATGGGGCACATGCTGAAACCCTTCAAGGAAGGCCTGGGCAGCAAGACCCAGCTCCAGTTCAAGACACACAGAGTATACGAGTCCATCCCCGCTTGGAACAAAAAAGTCTCGAAAGTCTTACCTGGAAGAAGCTCAAAGGATGGGTTTGCAGGTTTGCAGCATCCTCTCCCCAAGAGCTTACCTGATCCCCAGCATAGCACTCCTGTTGCTTGAGACAGGGCGCTCCCGCCATGCCCTGGGCTGCCCTGAAGCTAAGGCTACATCTAACATAGGCACAGAGCACCCTCAGGCCTTGGTCATGAACCAGAGCAACGACCACCACAGCTCAGGTCCTTTTAGAAAACAGATTTATTCAGGAATGATGAAGTGTGTGAGGATGTGCTTATTCGAGTACATTGAGAAGCAGCAGTTGGACAGTTCTGACGTGAAGTCCTTTGGGACCTCAAGAAGCTTCCTTCAATCTCACCTCTAACTTGGCCTGTGTTCTGCTTTCTCCCCTTCCATCTAGCTGCCAATATTCTCAGTCCTAAGCAAGCCATCAATACCAGCTTGAAAAGCAATCAGCGAGGAATTTCTGTGCATCAGGTTTACAAAGGGGAGCGAGAAAGGACATTGGGATGAAAGGGAGGAGCTCAGTTAGCATCCTAGGGCATCCCAAAGTGGGGGTAATGGTCCCTCTGCAAGTTGCTGGCTATGTCCCTTTTCTTGCCCGGCGTTTCAGGCCCAAAGTCAATGCCAGAAGATGTGTGAAAGTTGTTCAGGTCTTGCGAGTATGTGCCCAGCATGCAGGTACTCAGATTACCGCAGCGCTTAGGTCGGGGGCTGTCCAGGCTGCAGGGAAAAGACATGCCACACAGTCCCATGCACCAGCGGCTGCCCCTGTGACAGTCATGCAGAAGGTGGGGCAGCAAGGGTGCTTTTCCTGTGAGGCAGGAGAAGCAGGCAGGAGGAGAGCCCACACTTTAGGAGAGCTCAGGGGTGCAGGGGGCCAGGGAAGTGTGGGGAAGGGCTGCAGAGGGAAGGGCGGCCTCTCCTGCATTCCACATGCTGTTCAGTCCCCATGCTCTGCAGAGGGCTCTTCAGGGCAGACACAGGTGCAACATGAGCCTCTGCCCAGGCAGTGCAGGGTCTCTGTCCAGGCTCAGGGTGCACAGGGAGGTGGGCAGGGAAGGGTGCTGTTCCTGGGCCTGTGTTGCCACGCACATCACACAGATGCTGCCCATCTAAAGGCCCAGGTGGACCTCAGACCAGGGCTGTAGCTGACACACCCCTGCAAGGCCCTCACCTTCACCTCGCACATGTGAAACCACGGAACCTCACAGGAGGGAAGGACAACGGAACTGGTGAAATTTCTCGAACTTCCTGAGTTAGACCGGGTCCCCTCCTGACCCAGCTTCGTACTTACCAGTCCTAACTCAGCCAGTGCTGGAGGCTCCTCAGGACTGCAAGACCAGGCCCCACAGTGCGTGCTCCCACACCGTCCCTAACTGCTCTCAGAAGTGGATCTTTTCAAATGGGACCTAATCACAGTCTCCCCAGCTGACCTCTGTCCTCGGTGGAGCCTGAGGACACCTGGGCCCGGGTCCTGGGGAATGACCCCAGGCTGGCCACTGTGTTCCTTCTTACCTCTTGGGATCGCCTTCCTGGGCATGCCTGGGGGGAGAGGGGGCTTGCTGGGCAGGGTGGGGCTTTACCTGGAGCCCTCTGGCTCCTGCTCCTGCTCCAGCTCCAGCTCACTGGCCTTCATCTGCATGTAATCCCGCACCAGGGCAGCCAGCAGGAGGCGCGCTTCCTCCTCACTGAGTGTGGAGAGGTCTGGGCTGCTCTCCAAGGCAGACCTGTGGAGGGAAAGCAAACCCAGTGCAGGCTCTGAGCCCTGCCTACCCCCTCCCCAGGAGAAGTAGCCAGGCTTCCTGGTCCCTCTTCTTCCCTTGAGGACGTTGCTGCCCTGATGCCCAGTGATCAGTGTCCACCTGAGGGAGCTGACCCATTGGGAGCCATGTGTGACTTCAGAGGTACAGGGACCACCGGCTCCTGGCTTTCGGCTGGCTCACCTGAAGGGCACTGCCTGGAATCTGTCTGTCTGGCACAGGACCAAGACGCTGAGAGCCAGGAACGGGGAGAAATTCCGGAAGCCCATGATGCCTCTCTGCAAAGGGAGAACATTACCATTGCACTAACATCACAGTGCTAGGTTCTAGTCCCGCCTCTATCACGACTGCCATGTGACCTCAGGCAAGTTACTCTGCCTGTGCGGGCCTGTTTCATTCATTTGCAGAAGAGCTGCTGTGAGTCTCAAAGATGCAGTGAATGACTTGGTAGAGCAGAAACAGGTGTGCCCATAAAAGGGCAGGTGGGCTCCGGTTTGATTCCCTGCACGGCCAGGGAGGAGCCATGAGCGCACCTTTGGTCACGATCTGGGCAGACCTCAAGAGCTGACCCATCGCGTTGTAGACCTGCTGAGTCTTTGCGCCTGTTTCCGCAGTCGGAAACTTTTAAGACCACCTTCCCTGCTGCACTTCGCGCCAATGAGTGGGAGGGGAAGGCTAGGTTGGAAAGGAGGTCTACGCATTTGGAGTTGGCAAAATGGATAACCGGGCAGTTGAAATGTCCTGGGACTCTGCCTGCGGGCTCTGCAGACGCTCTCGGGGTGCGGATTAGCGTCAGGTGCAGGCGCCGGCACCCAGGGAGGAAGCCCACTGTTCGGGTCGTCTGACAGCTCTGTCCCAGATCGGGACCAATTGCCCCGGGGCGCTCAGGGCTGGAAGTGGCCCAGAGGAAAGCTCGGGACTGTCAGTCCTGAGCACTAAACGTGAACCCTGAGGACATCGACGACGCAGGGCACTCCCGGACCAAACTCGGGCACCTTCCCACACACCCACCAGCATCAACGCTGGGCCCACAGACCCGCCTGCCTGGGTTCACGGAGCTTCCAGCGCCAACGCAGAGCACTGGGGGACGCTCGGTTCCGCCTGGCTAGCTGGGAGAAAACGCCGGCACCTCCCTAACAGCCCGCCTTCTTAGCCAGAAAGACCACCTGGCTGCAGGCGAGGCAGACGCGAGCAGACAAGCAAATGAACAGAGACCGGCAGGGTGTCGGAGTGAGCAGAGCCAGAAGTCCTCACCTGGCGGCACGAGTTTCAGGACAGCGCGGGCGACCGCTCCACCTGGGAAGAGCACAGCGCCTACTGCGAGCGCCGCCCCAGCC